ACTTTAGAAACAACTGCTCCATTGTGGCAACTCACAGAACCTTATCCAAGACATTTCAAGTCATGAGCAGTGCCAGCACATCCAGGTATTTGATGGCCTGTTGCTGAATTTTGTGTGAGGGCAGAGTTGCAAATGCAGGTAAAAATTTGCATATAAGCTTGACCCTGTCAAGTCTACCACCAAGCAGTTTTTGACAGAATTTATTATTGAGAGTAGTTTCACAAATTTTTATTAACGCATTCCAATTTTGGTTAAAATAAGACAAGAATAACAGGTACTTTACATGAAGACCTACATGCATTTCTTCAGAAGGAGGTGATATTGGAAATATGTGGGGTAATCTCCAGCCAGATAAGTATCAAATACACCCCATCCACACAGCCAAAAGGGAAATCACCATGATAATATCTTCCAACCATACAGGCACCAAACACCCTGGCAATACAGAGGTCATTGATCCCAGATGAATCTATGAATCTGATGTTGCTGGCATTACTGACAGATTGAAGGTTATATTTTGGTGGAACAACCTCCCTTAACTTCGTGACAGACTTGTTACCCCGTATACATTTCTGAACTTGTTTAAGTTTGTTCTTATGTTGGCAGTACATTTCCAACTGTTTCTGTTATGTCAACCAGAATGGGCAGGTTGGGAATATCTGTGCATAAGGTTAAGCAAGCAGGGAAATATAAAAATTGTAAATGTGTACATACAGGCAAGTGTGCTGAATACAGTACTTTAAAAAGTTACATGTGGTATGACATTGTATTGCTTTTTTGTGAAGGCCTAACTTCATGGATATCTCAGTGACAATGGGTGATGAATTTATTTTTAATTTGTTGATTTTCACTTTGCATTATTTTTCAAGCCCTGATGTTATACATAGATAATCTGTAATATTGTTTTCATCATGTGATTGTGGGTATAAATGTGAACCTAGGGTATACCTTTACCTTTAGGAACATGTCACTTCTTCCTGTTGGTGTGAAATGTGGTCTCTTAATTGTAGGGAAGAACATGTATTACAAGTATTTTAGAACCAAGTGCTCAGAAAAATATTTGGATCTGAGAAGGATGGTGTGAGTGAGTAATTCATGATTTTACATGATGAGGAACTTAATGATTTAAATAGATCACTTGGTATTGTTTGGACATTGAAATGAAGGACAAAATGGGCTAGACACATTGAAGATAAGAAACCCCACAGAATGTGGCCATTTAGGAGACTAATGAGATGAGAAGCTAATAGTAAAAATGGAACGTCAGGAAGTGTTGGGGATGGGAGGTGTTCAGTCATATTTGTACTTTATTTAATGACACTCATTAACTCAGATTGAGCTGGCATAACTCAGTCAGTATAGTGACTGGTTACGGACTGGACGACTGGGTTTTGATCCATGGCAGGGGCAGAGAATTTTTTATACATGGCATATTGTGGGACAGCTTTACTTTACAGTAACTCAGATTATACAGCATAAAATGACAGGAAGATTAATGAATTGGAAAGGATATGGAAGTGACTGCGGTCTGATTTAAGGTACTATACCAGCACTTGCCTGGAGGGACTGAAAAACTTAGGATAGACTCAGTCTTCAAGCTGAGATTTAACATTGGGACCTCCTGAATATGAAGCAGGAGTGCTAGCCAATCTGCAACATCTGGTCTGCATCCAGTGTTGGTCTTTGGTATTGGGGGGTCTTGAACCTCCATGTTCTGCTGTGATACTTATTTCAAATTATGTTTATGAGCATTTGGTATTAATTTCAGGGATATTCACATATTTATGTTATAAATCAAACTTTCTGATTACTTTGTTGTGTCCCAGAAAAAGCTGTATCTGGATATGTGAAGTCAAGACTGCATCTCCTTCAAACCACATGCAAACACATTGCAGGCTGGAGTTTTTGAGTTAGCATGAATGACATAACATCAGCACCATGTTCGGGTTTGGACCAGGCATAACAGTATGGTGGATAGCACATGTTCTTCATATTTGGGAGACTTAGTTTTGATTCCTGGCTCAGGCCAGTTCCTTATCCTGAAGATGAAGGCAATATTCTCCTCTGAAACACTGGTATGTAGCTACAAGACTACATTGCATTGTAACCCAGATCACAATTATTGTCACCACCATGAAAACTTCAAGTTTCATACTTTGAGGCTTTTCTGTTATTTCTAAGTCCCTTAGAATAAGCCATGTTTGCTCCCATGTCCTTCCTTTCATATTTATAATTCAGAATAATCTCACCATTAAACACTTTACAATGAAGGTAACAGAAATAGTTAAATAACAAATCAGATGTCAGCATCATAATCTGGCAGCTGTAACCCTGAAGGAAGAAACCCATGAGACTGAGTGGACTCTGCACCACACTGTGAAGGTAAATAGGTGTCATCAACAAACTTCATACATTCTAGATCTCCACACTAGATGGAACTGAGTAGTCAGCTTCACATTCTGACCTCTGTCCTTGGGAAGAAAGGGCTCTGAGAGAATCCCATAGTTGGTAGTGTGAATGTTTAAAAAAGAAACATCCCTGTCCATGCTGGGGACTGAACTCTGGACACCCTGCCCATAATTTTACTGACTGAGAGATCCTGGCACTGGAGGAAATTTGAATCCCAGTATAATAATAAAATGTCACTAAATCATAATTTAAATTTATTTATTAAGAATATTTACATTCTATCCTTTGTAATACATTTTAATTCATAAGTAGTGTGTGTGTGATTTATACATGGGCAATGAACAAATTCAGAGTTCATTATATTAATTTTAAAGATTTAAGGAAACAGCTGTACATTGCACATATACAAATCTTAATTCTGGGTAGAAATTTAATACTGTGTACTTTTAACTGAGTGTTTGTACACAGAATTGTTGCTTCCATGAGATGTGTTTGGAATGTTTAGGGCAGAGGGAGCCCAAGAGTTTTCCTGACTATTCTGTCTGCTATCCTGTTGAACTCTTCACGGTCTTCCCGCCACATTTTCGCTGCATCAACATTGGCACCGCTTTCATCATTGGGTTCTACAAGAAAAAAACATACTTCAAAATAATTCTGTAATGGACTGTTTTATTTTTCACAAAGAATCTCTTCTATTTGTACCTGCCAACATGCTGACAACTGATAGTAGTATTTTCTCAACACTCTGAACTGGGCTCCACCGCTCTGCACTCGATTCATAGCCCATGGGGTCATCACCAGGAGCATGGAGTATGGATATGCAGACTTGTCCATCAGCATAAACTAGAAAACAGTTCCACATATTAATACATGAAAACCAATTAAAAGACTAGACTGCACCAATTTCACAACAGAACTGTTACATTGAAATTTGGCATGGACAGCAGGTATAGCACCCTGCTAGTATGCTGACACATTCATATCA